TTATCCGAATTCAATGAAACTTGGTACACACCATTCTAGCCTCAATTTGGTATCCAGTGCAAAATTTCGTCTCAATTTAATAAACATTGAGTATTTAGTGCACAATTGAAATGAAATCGTCCATGGACCAAATAAAGGAGCTGTACAAAATTTTATCTCTTTCGGATAATAAATGCGAATTGTATATTATTTACCAAAAAAAAAAAAAAAAAAAAAACGGATGGACGGACATGCAAATATTCTCAAAATTAACTATGGCTCTAGTCTATTTGATTTCCCTTTTGTACCCCGTAGTAATACCGGCTATGCTGTAGGGTATAAAAATGAAGAGAGTTTGTATTGGTTCATAAGTGTATATATTAAACATCATAGACATCTGATGCAGAACAGAACAAGAACTGCTGCACCACCTATCAAACCTGTATTTTTTATCTTTTGTGTAAAGATGATTGCGCCTTTTCCAGCCAATTGTTGTTTGTCCTCTATGGCATCGATAAACTTGCATGCAAATTATTTCAAAACCCTCTTGCAATAATTATTGATTAAATTCTAAACAAAAGGTGGGGGTATTGCTCTTCCCAACGTAGTGGTTACATTACGTTGTGTATGATTGGTTGGTTGGTTGGCTGGCCATCACCATTAGTAGGTTCTTTAGTTTTGGCACCTTAGCCAATATACAATATATGTACATATGTGTCTATATATTTATTTCTATGTTTAATTTTTTTTTGCTTTCATTCATCCATCCATGTGTATGTTGTTGTTTGTTTTTGTTTTTTTCTGTGTGTCTATGCCATATCTGTGCTTGTCTACCCAAGATGAGTATTGTGGGTATTCATGTTTCGTCAATTGTTTTGGTTGTGACAAAAAGGCTATGGTCATTAAAAAAAGTACTATTAGCTAAAAAAATAGCAAATATAAATATTATAAAGTATAGCATTTAATTGGGGAGACGTTGCGTTCCTTATGGGTGGCTATCGCATATAAAGTGCTATCCAGTGTGCTGTGTGAACGACTGAAGCCAATGGTGAAATTATTGGACCATACCAATGCGGCTTCAGACCTGGAAAATCCACCATTGACCAAATTTTCACTCTGCGCCAAATCCTGGAAAAGACCCACGAAAAACACATCGACACATACCACCTATTCGTCGACTATAAAGCCGCATTCGACAGCCCTATCAGTTCAGAGGTAATTAAAACAATGTTCTGCACTATTAGGTTCATCAGAAGAGTCGAGGAGGTTCCGCTGCCACTTATATACCCATTAAAGACGATCTATATATAAAATATCATATCATTTATATTTAAGAAATTTTGATAAATCACTTTTCTCAATTCCCATAAGTTGTATAATCTCTATTATAATGTGTAATCAATCTTTTGAAGGAGAACAAAATATCTTCATTTTAACGAAAAAAAAAACAACAAATTGTGCAAAAGGAAACACGTTCATACAATTATAAAAATTATTTAATATTTTTAAAATTCCAGCTTTTAAAGATGTTTTTTTTATTTTTTTCTCTAAAATTTTGTAATCTTTTGCGTTATCAGTAGACCGGTAAATACACACATCTTGGAATAACTTCAACAACTTTAGATAATAATTTGAATAAAAAAATTTTCTTACACAAACGAACCTGCCTCAATACATCACCGTACAAATATTACAACAATATAATACGCATGTATATACACAAACATTATAATAATTTTTTTGTTTTTGGTCACAAACTTTGTTATTTTTTCCTTTTAAAAATATGAATTGTTTCTAATCAGTTGATATCTAATCAACAGAGACATTGTTTAATTTTTTTAGCCAACCGGCATAGCGGGATGAAAACGATTGTGAAGGAGAGGTATAAAAGTGATTTTTTGTTTTCACCAAAAATTATGATTAGTTTTGTTTACATGCTTGACATTCTATGGTGATTTATGACCATCAAGATATACTTTTTTGTTTGGAACTCGGAGATAATTTCATAGGATTATTATGTTTCGTTTTTTTTTTCTTTACAAAAAAAAAAAAAAAAAAAAAAAAAATTGATATCTTATACAATGCTAGCTCAATTTGCCAAGCTGTGGAAATTTTAGTTGAAATCTGCTGAACATATAGTAATAGGAGCTATATCGAAATTTTCACAAAACTTATCACATCTCATTCTAAACAAAATTCGGTACACTGTGCAAAATTTCGTCTCAATTGGAAAAACGTTTTGTATTTGGTGAACTATTTTAATTAAATCAGTCGAAGTATATATGTGGTAGATATATTTAAATCTAAAATCTCTTAATCTCTATCTCTCTGGAATTCCACGCCCACCGGACGGCATAAAGATCGTAACATATGCACCTAAAATAGGACCTAAAATTGTTGACATTTGCAAGAGGCTGAACCACTATCTCGTGGATATCGCAGACTTTTTCCGCTCGAGGAATATGGAAATATCCGCCACTAAGTCAACGGCCACACTGTTTACCATATGGATATCGGAGATGCGGCAGTCTTTGAATGTGCAGGTCGAGGGGTCCACAATCCCCAAGGTTCTAGGGGTAACATTCGATAGTCTTTACAAGTCGTACGCGCATGCCACAGCTATTTGCGATAAAGTCAGGAGTTCTCAATTCGCTAGCCCTGGCAGCTGACAATGAAACCTTGTAAACGACATACTCAGCAATAGGCCGGTCTGTGGCAAACTATGCTGCGCCAGTGTGGTTCATGCCAGAATGCAGCCCTGAGGACTGCAACATGCTGTCTCCTCATGACTCCAATAGGTCACTTACATGAGGAGACCTTCCTGTGGGTCAACACAACAAGATGTCGATGCAATATCTGCTTGGGTGTTATAGGAGTAGCCATCCAAATCGTTACCTAATGTATAGGCACCCACCACCTAGGCATGTCCGGAAGGATCTTCATGATCTGGAGAGAGAAAGAGAGGACCAAAGGTACAAAAGGGAGCCTCTAGAGCCACAGGCCTATCAAGCAGGATTTAATCGTATTCACACAGATACATGATGATGTTGAGGAAGCAATTCGAGAATATCGTGTGATTATCTATGAATATGAGAATGTATTCGTACGATCATGGCGTTGGTTCTATTATCAAGGGGATTTGCGAAAGCTACAGATCTTTCATCTGTGGAATATGAAGAAATCCGGCGATAAATCCACAGCTACTCTGTTCAATACATGGACGGCAGAAATGAAGCTCCCGCGCTGAACATCATGGTCAATGGTGTGCAAATTCCGAACTTAAACTATTCCAACATGTTGTGGATATCTTTTGAAAGCTTGGTTGATGGTGCGCAAATTTCGAACCCAAACTATTTCAACATTTTGTTATATCGTTCGTAATCTTAGTTAAGTCTTTCGTTCAAGCCATCGCTTTCGTTCGTAATCTTAGTTAAGTCTTTCGTTAGAGATAAGAAGCAGGATCAAGATCCTCAAGTCGCTTACAAGCAGTTCTTGGAGTGCTGACCTTATTGATCCCCTCAAAGCAATAGGGCGGTCGTTGGTAAACTACGCGACACGCAGTGGAATAATATTCAAACCTGTCAGAATACATGAGGAGATGATGGTCTTATGCGTACGTTCATACAACAGGATGTGCTCGATGTAGCATACACCTGGGATAAGATGAGAAGCTGGATAAGGTCCTCAGTCGATTTCCAGCCACTTCTGGGGATGCTGATGAAGAAACCATATTGACTTCGTGCAAAGTGGTAAACTATGAGGCGACGATGGTCTTACGCGTACGCGTCGTCATAACAGGATATGCTCGATGTAGCAAATACTTTGATACTATGCCATCACCTTATGGTTAGGATTCGCCCACCCAGGCACGTAAGGAGAGACCAAAACGATCTAAAGAGAGAGAGAGAAAGTTTCTATGGTATAACATAGAACTCCTAAATCAACCGGCCTATCGAGCAGGAATGAATAGCATTTACATGGAAGCTGTGACCGAGACTATGGACCAATATGAACAACCTATAGCAGCAGAAAAACGGCAAAATGTGGATCGATATATCCCATGTTTTAATTCTAAACATTCTATGACAAGTCTGATGTAGATTTTATATATCCTCTATAGGGGTTTCGAGATATATTTTAAGATATGGCAAACAAAATTTTGCAGAAGGCCTGGACTTGTTTTCCATTTTTTTTTAAATATTTATCGTCCAAATAGTCACTAATACTTGTTTTTTCCTCCCGCCCATTTCAATTTCAGGCATCTCTGTGGAAAGCTAAAAACTTTCCACTCACTCTGCGTGTGTGTGTGTGTGCGTGCGTGAGGAGCTGGAGAAATGTCACGCGACACACTCTCAAGGGATAGCTGGATAAGGTCCTCAGTCGATTTCCAGCCACTTCTGGGGATGCTGATGAAGAAACCATATTGACTTCGTGCAAAGTGGTAAACTATGAGGCGACGATGGTCTTACGCGTACGCGTCGTCATAACAGGATATGCTCGATGTAGCAAATACTTTGATACTATGCCATCACCTTATGGTTAGGATTCGCCCACCCAGGCACGTAAGGAGAGACCAAAACGATCTAAAGAGAGAGAGAGAAAGTTTCTATGGTATAACATAGAACTCCTAAATCAACCGGCCTATCGAGCAGGAATGAATAGCATTTACATGGAAGCTGTGACCGAGACTATGGACCAATATGAACAACCTATAGCAGCAGAAAAACGGCAAAATGTGGATCGATATATCCCATGTTTTAATTCTAAACATTCTATGACAAGTCTGATGTAGATTTTATATATCCTCTATAGGGGTTTCGAGATATATTTTAAGATATGGCAAACAAAATTTTGCAGAAGGCCTGGACTTGTTTTCCATTTTTTTTTAAATATTTATCGTCCAAATAGTCACTAATACTTGTTTTTTCCTCCCGCCCATTTCAATTTCAGGCATCTCTGTGGAAAGCTAAAAACTTTCCACTCACTCTGCGTGTGTGTGTGTGTGCGTGCGTGAGGAGCTGGAGAAATGTCACGCGACACACTCTCAAGGGATAGTGTGTTTCGCACAATATTACAACGTGACCATTACAATCCGCATGTGATACGAAGAAATTTAATTGCCAGCAGCAAAGATTCCCTCGATTATGTCCAGCGTTTGGGTCTTATGTGCCGGCTGCCCATTCACTCGGGCTGTGTCAACACGGTGCATTGGAATAGTACCGGGGAGTATTTAATCAGCGGTTCAGATGATCAGTTTGTTGCCGTCACAAATCCGAATAATCAACAAGTTCTACTCAAATATAAGACAGCACATCGGGCGAATATCTTCAGTGCCCGATTTATGCCTCAGTCGAATGATCAGGCTATTGTATCATGTTCGGGAGATGGCATAGTCTTGCACACAGAACTGCTGGCACCGTACATACGCAGACGTCAGGGTTCCGATGAACCGATGCCATCGGTGTACGAACGAATATCGGATAATGACAGCAATGTTGGCTGGTTTAGTTGCCATAAGAGTGGTACCACCTATGAGGTAATGACAGTTCCTACAGAACCGCGGTCATTTATGAGCTGTGGCGAAGATGGCACCGTGCGCCTATTCGATTTACGCAAAATCTCCAGTTGTCACAAGACTTGCTGTAAGGATAACATTTTCATCTTCAGTCCTTCGGCTGTGAATGCCATGGATCTGGCACCAATCAGCAGCAACTATGTTGCCGTTGGCAGTTCCGATGCCGTTGTCCGCATCTATGATCGTCGTTATTTATCTGTGATCGATTTTAGTGATAGTTCCATACCAACAACAGAACGCCATACGCGTCCCGTTAAAGCCTATCCCATACCACTGCCCACAAATCGTCAGTTTCGTATTACCTGTGTACGTTACAGTCCTGACGAGTCTGAGCTATTAGTTAGTTATTCATCGGAGTATTTATATTTATTTGATTTGAAAAGTGAGGGTGTCGATGTGAGCGATTTGTCAAAGAAGGGACGTCTCCTCAATCGTGATAGTACACCGCCGCCCACAATGACGGCCGAGCAGGTTACAAGAAGGCTAAGACTGCGAGGCGATTGGTCGGACACGGGGCCAGATGCAAGGCCGGAGCGTGATGTAAGTGGTAGGGGCGAAGTGGGACAGGTTAGACCTCAGTTGCAGGCCAATATTATGAGTCGTATGACGGAGGTGATATCGCGTATGTTAAATGATCCCAGAACACGAATGGGATTGACCAATCAAATGCAGGAAACGCTAAGAGAAACATCTCACGAGGGCAGTGAAAGTTTGGTAATGGATACAAGAGATGCGGCAGGTGAAGGTGGGTATGATAACATCGATATTTACTTTATTTTACAATAACTAATTGTTTTTGTTTTTTCTCAGAAGCCCGCCCCTCAACATCGTCAGCATGGCGCCGGGCCGCTGCCAGTACCTTGGCCGCCAATCACTCATCCTCCGTCGATACTCAAGATTCGGTGCATAATTCTACGGGAACAACCACGCATAGTCACAGTGTTGATGATGTTGAAATGTCCGATCCAACTTCATCGACAAATCAAGATACCACAACCACCACCAACACAACAACCTCAGCAACAGATCCCGATTTCCAAGATGATTCAGCCTCATTAAATCAAGAATTAGCCGATCTGGAAATGGAAACCAAAGAGGTCATATTCGATTATTTACGCATGAAATACACGGGTCATCGTAATGCCCGTACCATGATAAAGGAAGCGACATTTTGGGGTAATAATTATGTTATGTCCGGTTCCGATTGTGGTCACATATTCACCTGGGATAGACGCAGCGGAAAGCTGGTAATGTTAATGCAAGCCGATCAACATGTTGTCAATTGCCTACAGCCGCATCCGGAGCTGCCATATTTAGCATCATCGGGCATCGATTATGATGTGAAAATCTGGGCACCAATACTCAAGGAGAAGAGCTTTAACGAAGAGGAAGCTGAAGATGTAAGTGTTTAGGTTTTGATAAGTGTTTTTTTGTATGAGATGGATGTGTTTATATCGATGTGATAGATAAGTCCATTATTGGAAATAAGTATGGAAGGAGTACTAAAAATTTTAATATTGACAATGGGCTAGGCCGATAAATTTGAAGAAATTGATGCATAAGATGTTGCAAAGAGTTTTTGAAAATTGTACTAAAAGCGTACGGAAAATACTAAAAGGTACTCAAAATTATTCACATTTGTGCGAAACGGATAGGTCTTAAGGAATATATTCAGTGTCGGATTTATACCTCAATCAAATAATGAAGCTATTGTATCATGTTCGGGAAAAGATATTGTCTTGCCTACAGAACAACTGGCACCCATGAACCGATGCCGTCGGTGTACGAACGGATATTGGACAATGACAGCAAAGTTGGTTGGTTTGGTTGCCATAAAACTGGTACCAGCTATGTGCTGTGGCGAAGATGGCACCGTGCACCTATTCGATTTACGCAAAATCTCCAGTTGTCACAAGACATGCTGTAAGGATAGCATTTTCATATTTATTCCATAGGCTAATAATACCATGGATCTTCCACCGATCAAAACGGATGGTTGCAGAGGAAATGACTGAAACTTTAATCTTAACATTTAACTCGAGGGTCAATATTAGTTCGTAGGTGTGTGTGATAAATCCGAACTGTTGGGAAGAGTACTAAAAGGTACTTAACATTTATTGGCATCTTTATTGTCAGAATTTTGTTGGCATTTTGCACGTGGGTCAATATTAGTTCCTAGGTACTATAAGAGGCTGATCATAAGTACTAGAAGTTATTAACAATTTTAATATCGTTTTTGAACGGTTAGGTCCAATGGAAATGACTGAAACTTGAATCTTGACATTTTGCACGAGAGACGATATTAGTTCGTTAAAGGGTGTGTGTGTGATAAGTCGGACTTGTTGGGAACTAGTACTATAGTAGTACGGAAAAAGTACTAAAAAAGGTACTAAAAATTTAATATTGATATTAAGACTGGGCCTTAAAAATTGCAATAACGATCACAGATAGAACGTAACAGATAGTGGAGTAATGCTCCCTGGGACAATATCCCAAGCAAAAAACTAAGAGATCTTATGACGATTTGTGGCGAAATCCGAAACTATAGTCTTCTCTGCCTTTCCCGAAAGTAATCAATGTGACCATAACCCACTTTAAAAATAAAAATTTTGTTGTTTTTATATATTTTATTAAAAACAATAAGAAAGGAATAAATCTGGCTTCCTAAAAAAACTAAAAAAAGTAATTTTTTTCAGATCATTTTTGGATTCTAATTTCGAAGTCGTTCCTATTCTAAATACCAAATTAAACAAACCTTCTAAATACCAAATTCATTATAATTTCTATTGACAAATAAAATTCACCGACAGTCTAATAAATGAGGTAGTATTTTTATTTATTTCTTTTTAGCTAATTCCAATTAATTGTATTCGTATTTATGGCTTCAGATCTTTTTTTAAAAAACTTCTTTACCTAATTCAATATGCCTCTTTTCTCTGTCTTTATATCTCTCTTGCAGCTAATGAAACGTAATGCCATCATGTTGGAACAGACCAAAGATACGATAACGGTGCCGGCTGCCTTTATGATACGCATGTTGGCCTGCATACATTCGTTGAGGAATCGGGAACGTAATCAAAATTCCAATGATGGACCAGCGGTACCGGGTACGGCAAATGACAACGACAATGAAGCTACAGGTGATAATAATACAACCAATACAACAACAACAACTACTACGAGTAGTAACAACAACAGTGGCAATAATTCAAATCCAGAGGATGATGAAGAGATTAACTAATTATTTTATTTTACTCCATTTGAATGGTTCTCAATATTTGAGGAAAAAAATTCAATAAAATAAATGATATGCATGAAGACAACTAGAGAGAGAGAGGTGCTTAAGACAACAACAACAATACTAAATAAATGAAATTATTTATTTATGAAATTTTAAAATAATAAAAGAAAATAGTAATTAAAAAAAAAATAAATTGAAAAAAATATTGTAAATTTTTGTGGTTAAAAAAAAAACAAGTGAAACAACTGATTTTTTAAAACACAAATTTCAGTGCAATTCTGACTGTGTTGAAAAGTGGCGTTATTTCATTAAATCGATGTTGATTAATGATAAAATTAGACCTTCGAAAAAACGCAAAAACTGTTCCATAACAAATCCTGTAAATCAAAACTCAATTCTGGACTAAATCAAGAAGAACCAGTATACTAGTATTAAACGAAGTGTAAAATTCCTGGACCTATGTCAAAACCTATGGTCTCTAGGACTCGGAGGAAATTTCTGTTCAGTAGCTGCCACCCAAAATTTGGGAGAGGCGTTATATTCCGCAATGTCATGTCCGACATAAACTCGCTTTTGGATGGTAATAATTTGTTATTCCGTTCAGGCATTCCGTTTAGTTAAGACCAGTGGGGTACACCATCATTGACCTAGGAAATGAATAAGTCAACGTACATTCTGATAATCGATGTAACGTAGCAACCCATTATTTCCCTCCGTTCATAACTCCTGTCCTTTAATAGACTACTTGATTTTTAGCAACCCCTTATTTCCCTACGTTCAGACCTCCTCTCCTTTAATAGACCACTTGATGTTTAAAATCTCTTGCTTTTTGTATTCATGTAGTTCTTATTTCCAAATTTTATTATTCGAGTTCGATAGGTTCAACCAAATTTAAATATTATCAAATTTATTCCCCAAATTTCAGGATGCCAGTTCTATCGGTTCATCAACAATTCAAATTGTACCAAATTTAGTACTATTTATTATACGTAAGTACGAATTTCTAAAACTTCCTATACATACCTTTACCTTTACATAACTTTAATCCAACAGTAATCTTAATTCTAAATTTCAGTATTTCAGCTTAATCGTTTCACCCGTTAGAATTTCAGGATTTCAGCCCGACCTTTGCATCCAAATACCAATTGTATGAAATTTAGTACCACTTAGTATATTTCGTAAACATTTCAAAAACTACCTACATATACCAATCCTACACTCCAACAGTAGTAGTCCTAATTCGAAATTTCATGATTCTAGCTTTATCGTTTCACCCAAATTCAATGTGTATAAAATTTAGTACATATAGATATAAATTTCCCTAACTACCTATCTCAACAATGCAATAGAAATCGTATTTCCAAATTTCATGGTTTCCAGCTCGATCGTTTCACCCAAATAACAATTGTATCAAACATAGTACCATTTAGTACACTTTGTACACATATATACAAATTTTCAAAACTACTAAAGCTAATTTCAAATTTAGTGATTCTAGCTCCATCCGTTCCACCAAACTGAAATTGTAACAAATTTAGTACTTTTTGTATACATGTGTACATATTTCCAAAAGTAGGGTCCTTATATCGACCCTACTTCTCGAACTTGATTCGTATTTCAAATTCAAATTGCACCAAATTTAATACCATTTAGTACACATCGTAAACGTAAGTACAAATTTCCAAAACTAATTTAAAATTTTTTGGTTCTAGCTCTATCCGTTTCTCCAAACCGAAATTGTACCGCATTTAGTACTGTTTAGTACTTTTCGTATACATGTGTACATATTTCCGAAACCACCTCCTTATATCGATCCTACATCTCAAACTTGATTCGCATTTAAAATTTCATGTTTTTAGCTGTATAATGCTCTCAGCAACGAAATTGTACAAATTTAGTACGATTTAGTAATTTTCGGATGCTTATAATTCGACTTCCTATTCCATCAGTGACCCCAATTCCAAATTATATAGATCCGGTTCGCCAAATACAAATGGTACGAATTCTTGTTACAAATTTCACAAAACCCAGCCCAATCTGTCGCCTTCGGACTATGAGTGACCCTCATCCCAAATTTAGCTCTAAATGTTCTCATGCTGCGAAATTATACCAAATTTAGTACATTTCGTTCAAATTTCTAAAAACAAATCCGTTGATACATCTATTCTACACTCACTCAGTTATCATTCTAAATGTTAAAGATCTATATCTACTGGTTCGCCAAATACAAATGGTATCATATCTAATAATGTAAATGGTTTAAAACAGCCACGGTTTATATTTAGCTCTTGGGCGATGTTACGACTGCTAACATGCCGGTCAACTTCGATCATTTCTCCGATTTTATCGACATTTTCGACGACAAACATTCTACGAAATCAAAATTGCACATAATTGGATGTTACAGTATCAGAACCGTTTCGACTGAGCATTGACATTGCTGCAGATTAATTCCATTAACACTACCTATCTTAGGGCATGTAACCATCATAACTGTTTCTTCGGATTCGGAAGTAGATATTTATTATACAATAGGACTCACACTGCTACCATCCAACCATCATCATTACCATCTCTGACATCAGATAGTATATCCATACATTTAGATGGACCCTTGAGCGCCTCTATTAAAGAGATAGCTAAAAGGCCTGGTAGCACCTGATGTTCTCAGCTGCTGACTTCCCAATTTGTAAACCTTCCTAACTTAGACCAGCAGACACCATTAGTGTTAAATTTTGCTTCTTTTGTAATTGAGTTGTCTTCGCTACTGGCGACGACGGAAGTGAAATACAAGTATATGATTTCAGTTCGTCTTCGGACGGCTCACAAGAAGGACGCAATTAAAAAGTATAATACGCCCACGGGCTTAAAAATAATATTTTACAAAATGGCGATTCGTTAAGACTTCGCTTAACTAACACGTGTTTATCAAATTGACGAAATTCTTCGTATACGGATAACCTATCAAGTCACAAAACATCAACTAATTGAAGCTGAACTCGTTTTTTAAAAGATTTTTAGACTTTGTCTACGCATGATATATGGTCCTATACCTCCTATACTAAATAGGAAGTGGACTAGTTGGAGGAGGAGTAAAGACGAAAAAAAAGTACATGATTCTGATAAGTCAAGATTCAGTGACAAGGGATTGATGACAGGCGAAACGTATTCTAATATTGTAAACTCAGTTCCTTTAAGATGTCTAGATAAAATCTAAAAAAAAACTTCTCAATATTTTGTTGTTTTTTTATATTGGAATATATTTTATTATTATTAACTAGATTAATGGATAATTAGTAAATTATTTTGCTTAAATTTCTTTAAAATGCTATTTTTTTATTTCCTAAAAATTTTAAATACATAAAAAAGATAAATTTCCCAATCCAATAAATTAATAAAAATTGTAATAAAACAAATGTATTTTTTTTTATAAATTATAACAAATACTATATAAAAGAATCATTGAGAGTGGAGCTTTTTGCGATTTAGAAAAAAAGTGTAATTAATTTCCAATTTTGAGCAATTTCTTCGGATAAAACAATTGAGATACTGCAAAACTTGTTATTCATTCATATTCGAGTGTAAAAAAGAAAAATAAATTCCATTTAATTAATTAAAAAAAAAATAGCGAAAAAGTTAACCACAAAGATATACAAAAAATAACTAAAAAGCCCCACCTCTGCTGTTGCACACAAGATTAAATTAAAAAAAAAATACACATAAAAAAATAAGCAAAAAATACTTATCTGTATAACATCTTGACAATAGGGCTAAATATCGAGTATATTAATTTTTATATTGATTGATTTTCATCTTATTTTAAACATTAACGGCATTCTGCAAGGATGTCTTATCATCGACAATAATATTTGCCACCGCAGCAGTATTGGGATTTGAACTCAACAACTGTTTGGTGGATGAGCTTGATGAATAGCTGTCACTGGAACTGCGTGTTGATGCCGAAGTGGCACTTACCGGGCTGTCCAACATATCTGGAAAGAAAAAGTAAAACAAGAAATGCTATCATTAAGGACAATATGTTACCCTACATCAATTTTGGCAATGTGGAAAATATTTCTGCTTGAGATTTTGAAAAAAAATATTCTTTACAAAATCCACGTATGTTTGAGAACTCTAAAAATATTCGTTTAAAAAGTCCACGTCTGTTTGAGAACTCCGAAAGTATTCGTTTAAAAAATCCACGCCTGTTTGAGAACTCAAAAAATATTCGTTTAAAAAGTCCACGTCTGTTTGAGAACTCAAAAAATATTCTTTTAAAATGTCCACGTCTGTTTGAGAACTCAGAAAATATTCTTTAAAAAATCCACGACTTAGTTCACCCTTGAAAAAATATTCTTTAAAAAATCCACGCCTTAGTTCACCCTTGAAAAAATATTCTTTAAAAAATCCACGCCTTAGTTCACCCTTGAAAAAATATTCTTTAAAAAATCCACGCCTTAGTTCACCCTTGAAAAAATATTCTTTAAAAAATCCACGCCTTAGTTCACCCTTGAAAAAATATTCTTTAAAAAATCTAAAATCCTTGAGAAAATATGCTTTAAGTAATCCACGCCTTAGTTCACCCTTGAAAAAATTTTCTGTAAATAATCCACGCCTTAGTTCACCCTTGAAAAAATATTCTGTGAAAAGTCCATGCCTTAGTTCAACCTTGAAAATATATTCTTTAAAAATTCCAACCTTGAAAAAATATACTTTAAAAAAGGGTTTCTTTAAAAAATAGCCTTGGAATTTTTTCTTTATAAAATCCACGCCTTAGAAAAGTACACCTAGGTTTGGCCTGCTTTAAAAATTCAAGCATGATTGAGATTTTGAAAAATTGTCTTTGATTTTTTTTTAATTTTTGCCTGGAGATTTGGCACCCTACCACATCCCACAAAGTGCAAAATATTTCCAACTTACCTGGCAATGAGCTAACATTATTGCCCTTCATATCAACAGCACCCATAGAACTGGCAGTGGATGCCACACCGGTACCACCCGAACCGACAATATTACCCACCGATGTGGATTTCTTGTGTAAATTCTTTTTAGCCAAAGAATTTTTAAGTTTTTCCCCGGCACCGGACAAAGTTTTAGACTTCTCAGGACACAATGGACTTAAAATGCAATTTTGAGGATCTTCTGGTGTATAATAATCCGAATCTTCAGTTACACCAGCGACGGATGCAACCCCAGTCACCGAAGCGGTGGTTGCTTGTGGTGGTGGTGGTATAACACCAGGTGTGACATTTCCCGAATTTGATGCCTCCGGCATTTTATCGTTGTTAGCCTTTTTGTGTTTTTTAAATGAAGTGGATTTTCTTCCCTTAAATTCCACAGTGGGTTCTGATGATATCATCGAATTATCTTCATCGTGGCGATCCTCCTCTTCGGCGTCTTCATTGTCTGAGGCTTGAGTCAATGTTTTTACCAGTTGGGGTGGTATGGGTTTACATTTACTACCCGGCGATAGTAGAGGTGATAATTTTTCATTTTCACTATCATCGTCTTGTTCGTCATGCATAGATGTTGCGGTCGAAGTCATTTCGGGATTTGTTGTTGGTGTATTTTTGGAATGTCTTTTGTGGGATGATTTGGGTACTTTCAAACTATGACGTTCATTGACAATTTGCAATTTATCCTGTGACGAGCGTTTATCTAGCGATTTATCAGATGTTGCTCCGCTATTGCCCTCCTCAGGATTATCGGTAGTGCTACCATTATTTCCATTATTGGTCATTGTAGACATTTCAGTGGAATTGGTCGAAGTCGAAGCATTCTTTTTGCCCTTTGAACGTCGCTGGGAAGAGGGTTTGTATGGTGATGTGGCCTTATGATGTTCCGAGTTAGTGCCATTGACAACAGCACCCACACTGCCACCGTCCAACATATCATTACCATCCCCGACACCACGTCGTGTACCCACATATTGAGGTGGACCATTGAGAGCCTCTATCAAAGAGACTGGTATAAAGCCTGGTGGCACCTGATGTTCACAGGCCAATGGTTCCCCGGCAGCTGAGGTGGGTGTGTTCTGGTGTAAGACATGATTGTTTACACCCTTTTGTACGGCCCGTATTTGCAGAAGAGCCCGGAATGGAGCACGACAAATGGGACAACAATTGGCCTGGTAACGCAACGAATCGGCACATGAATAACACAGACACAAATGGCGACAGGGTAAAATCAAAGTGTCACGAGTTTCGCTCATACAAATAACACATTCACTGCCATGGTCATCAAGATCCTCATCAATGGAACTTTTATTGATGGCCTGAAAAGGGAATATAGAAAATGTTGTTTGTTATTGGGCAATAAAAAATACCTATTATTCGAAAAGTGATACCCACCTTATTTTCAATACCATAAATCTCCTGCAGTAGATAACACAACCCATCGACAAATATTTTCTGTTTCAGAGCTCGCAATACATAGCTATTGCTCTCCGGATGGTGATCAATAACACATATCGTTGTATGTGATTGACGACAATCTTCATTGCCCTCTTCCACCACACAGTGTATGGCAACAGGGTATTGTTCCTTACCCGGATTATAGATAAGATCATCCTCGGGTATTAACTGGGGATTAAAAACATGACTGGGCTGAGAAAAGAACTGGTTGATGCCCTTTTCATAGTGATATGTCTCCGAAGTGAGTCCATCGCGTGGCGTCAACGTTACACCACTGGGACTAACATCTTCACTGCAAAAGTAGTAGATGGTAATTGCACATTTGGCATCCGAATCAAATGTAAATTCAATATTATAAAGACATGGTGGTGTATCCAATGCAGTTCCTCCACCACCGCCGCTTAAACAATTACCGTCATGTTGATCCGTTTCCGACGATTGTTTCTCTTTGTTGACCTTTACGAAGCGAACTGACTCTTTGCGTATGTTTACCAAACTTTTCAAAGTCTTGGTTGGTTCATTGGCCTGTGGCGGAGGATAGGGAAATGCCGTCGGGCGATTTCCCAAAAAATTCAAATCAGCATTTTCACCAAATAAATACGATTCCGGCTGGGGTGTATCGAAACGTTCACCGCCCATTATAAAATGACTACCAAAGAAATTATTACCCGACCTCGGAGGATATTTATAGGCATGAGTGTTGGCATTTTGTTCGGCCTCCTGTTCATTCTGTTGGCGACTTGTAAATGCACCCATTTCGTTTGGGGGGGTTTCACTTAATTTGCTGTAGATATATAAAATCTGTGTTTTCCTACAACTTTTCTATTTTTCCACGTTGTTGAAACAATTAGTCATTGGAAAAGTTCGATTCTTGATATATTCCCAAATTAATTAGCCATTGCAAATGTAGATAAATGTTGTTTTGATGGTGTTTTCTTATAGAAAATTAATATTTTTTCCAGCTTTCCTCTCTCGTTTTTTTTTGCGAGCAGACTATAAAGTCGAACGCTGGTAATTTGTAACGGCGATAGTTTTAATGAGAAGGCGCTTCTTACAATTAAAATAAATGACGCCGTTTGTGTTCCTTATGAACAGCTGATTGGGTGTCAACAATTCATCGCTGGCGCCGTTACATTTCGGGAAAGAGCCTATTGTCGTTAAACGAATTAACGGCGTTGTTATTACATTTGAACAGTTAATTTATTTTTGATACCAGCGTTACACAATGAATACATTAATACAAAAGGACAGTAGAAAACGGAGAAAAATGAAAAATATTTTTTTTCAGTCTCCTGCCTTTTTTTAGCGAAATGGAATATAACGACGATTATAATTTGCAGCGCCAAATGTTTCTAGTACAGGGTGGTTATTCAAAACAAAGTAAATAACGCCGCTGATGACCGTCTAAAACAGCTGATTGGTTAACAACAAGTTAACGCCGCCACCGCCGTTATTCTACAAACTAGACTGACTTGGAGCAATCAAAGAAGACAATAGAAAAAACGGAGAAAATTGGAAAAATTCAGGTTTTTTCGCAAATTTTAATTTATAAATTTGGGAAGAACACCGGTTGTTTACATCCAATAAAAAAACGTAAAACATGAAGACAGATGAAAATCTCTTGGAGGAGATGTTGGGTAAGAACGTAGTAAAATTTTAAATTGATTTTAAAATGCGGCTAACTTGTTTTTCCCCCATCAAGAGAGGTCAACAAATCCTTCCCAAGTTGAAGTAGACAATATGGCTGTGCAAATTTTTTGTATGCTGGTGAATAATAACAAAGATGCATTGGTGGAAAAGGCCCAACAATTAATTGTGGACAAAATAAAATCGCATAATACAACCGAAGCAGACAAAGCAATTGGGGTAAGAAAAACAAAAAAGATCCGATTGATTTGTTTTCTACCCAATGGTTTATTATTATCTAGAAATAATGCTATCAAATGTTTTTTGTTTGTTTTTAGAGATAGTATGTAGATTGAAGGAGGGGGGTGAAGAGGAGGAGAGGATATCTAAATATTATTTGTCATTATGGTTTAAAACACTTGTCCGAATTATTGAGAAATATGGCTTTTTGGAATTCTTAAAAAAAAAATAGGAGTAGGACATTTAAAACATATTCTTCAAGGACTAGGTATAAGATCATTGACTTAAATAAAATGTTTTTTAGGGACTATACGCGCTTGGATTTCTTTATATATTTTTTTAAGTTAGAGTGACTTTTTATAAAATATTTTTTAAGGACATAGAATCGCGGATCCTCGAAAATATTTTCTTTTTCGAAGATTTTTAAGTTGCGGATATTTATAAAATATTTTTTGAATCAGTATTAGCCAATGTTGGAATTTCAACCAATTTTTTTTAAGTAGTGGATTTAAAAAACGAAATTTACAAGCATGCATTTTTATAAAAAAAATATCAAGACTAATTTGTTAACCGCAAAACGATTTTCATATAGATAAATAGTTTGACATAGCCTCTTTTATTATCTTCTTTCTAGTTACTAGAGGAATGCATGTCGAAGGGCGGTGAAGATTTCCAAAGGAAAACCGCCAAATTTGTCTTCCTAAATAAATTAATTGGCTTGGTGTTGGATAAACCAACAGGACCACCAGGATCTTTGCCTGATCCCCCTGTACCATTGCAAACCAAAAAACGCATCATGGAATGTTTAATGCTGTGGACCGTAGAACATGCCGATAAAAATAAAATTCTAGAAGCCTATGATAATCTGAAAAAACAAATTAATTTTCCTCATGGACCGGCTGCATCGGTTAATAATGCCAAGTCGTCGACGAATGGTGGTGCCGGAGTACAAATGCGTGATCAACGTGCCAGCATTTTGGGTAAAGATGATTTACTGGTAGCAAAACTATTAAAAGAGGGTGGCGAAGAGAATTATCGCAAGGCCAATTTGGTAATACAACATCGTTTCAATCAGGAGGCAAGGCGTATTGAATTTATATGTCATTTAAAATCGGAATTGAAGAAAATTGAAAATACCATGGAATTGTTGGAGCAAATGATAAATGTATATTCAACGGAACCATCGTCCACAGATGATAAGGAGATAATGCAAAGTCTGTACAGTACCTGTGAGGGACATAATGAACAAATGGCAAGATGGCCAGATTTTTTGGGTGATTCGGAACCGGATTTTTTGTGTAAGTAAAAATCTAATAACTACTTTGAATACGTAATTAAAATAATTTGCTTTTTTCAGCGGATGTTTTGATAACCAAAGATCACCTTTTTTCCCTATTACAACGTTACAATGAATTAATTAATGGCTCGGATGAAAATAAATATCAAACTAAAACGGCTACGACAACAACAAATCATGTAATTGCAGGTTCCAATGCAACACCCTTGATAAATACATCAAGATCATTCGCATCTGCATCAGCTTCAGCCAATTCAACGACATCAAATGCTGATATTCTCTCAGAACTTTTGGGTGACACCACCCTTAATCCTCCTACAACAACACCATCTGCCAACAATAAAGTTGATAATGCAAAAACCAAGGCGGATAATAAAAATTCAACTTTAGACGAGTTAACAGAAATATTTGGCAGTATTGAAACTAAAAATAATGAGTCAACAAATTATCCTACAGATTTACTTAATAATTTGGATTTATTGGAACCGATAAGTGTTTTCAAGACAAAGGCAAAAATGGAAGCGGAAAATGAAAATTCGACAAAAACAACAGATGGTGGTGGTGTTGAAACACAAAAACAACATGGCTTCAAGGAGTTAAGGGAAATCGATAAAATAAGCGAAGAGTTGTTTAAGAAAAGCCTGCAAAATGAGCAGCGGCAAGCGACATTTAAAAAGTAAGTCTTTTTAGATTTTAGTTTAAAATAGTTTTCCATTATGCAAAATCTGTATATATTCCATTTTCTTTTTTCAGAGAACCTGAGAAGGTAACCCTTAATGATTTGGCCAAAGATAAAATGCAAATTTCCTTGAAATCACAACAACAACAAAATGGCAATACTACAACAATGGATTGTAAATCAAACGATGAACCCATGTTGATGAGTGATATCACTAACACAGATGAAAAGAAAAACTCCTTGGAGATAGAAAACGAAAAACCAATAACTGATTGCGTTTCTATAGAATCAAATGAAGAAAATAAGACTATTGAAAATAATGCCATAAAGCCGCAGCCATTATCCTCCCCAGCTACTGTGGCGACCAGCAGCAAACCTTTGGCAGAAATACAAATCGATTTGGATCAATTAACACCCATTGCCGAGGGCCAGCGAATACTCATGGACGATGAAGACATTGAGGTTTCATTAAATTTCACTTCAGATCGGCCTTCACCACATGTTTCGGTTATTGTAATGTCGGTTGTGAATAAGTCACGACTGCCAGTGGAAGATTTTCAGTTTGAGGCAAGTGTGAAAAAGGTAAGAAGATAAAAGAATTATAAAAAATTATAAAAATAATTTTGATTTTTTTCTTCTTCTTGGATTTTAAGCCCTGCAAGGTACGTTTGCTGCCACCCACAGATACCAGATTGACTCCACGCAAACCATTCCGACCCTCAGAGCCAATTAATCAAGTGATTTTGCTTATGAATCCCACTGAAAAGGCTGTGGATGTGACATGTATTGTGGGCTATAGATTGGGTGACGATCCCGATCCTGTAAAGGAGTCAATTATTGCAAAAAATATTCCCTATGTTTAGTTATTTAAATATGTTGGAAACAAATGGAATCAGTTCCACATATATTATTTTATAATTTTTTTGATTTTGCCAAAATTTTTTTAATTTGACTATTGAGTTTCCAACTATTTTGTATAAAGCTTTGAGTATTTGATTGTATCCCTTCTTACCATTTTGTGTTAAAGGAGTAGTGGGGATACTTTTACCACTTATCCCTGTATTTAAGCTGTGCTTAAATGCCCAGTCTTTTGTATTAATTTTTTGAAAAGTTGAATTCCAATGGCAATTTTTGCTATTTGCCACTAAATTATTATTATTTAACATTTTGTTTTTAAATATTTTTATGTATATAAATATTTAATTTGATTGCAACTAATTTATTGGCTAATTATTTGAATAATTAGGTAGATGAAAAAAATAAAATAAAAATTATGCAAAAAATACGGCTAAAATATTGGGTTGTTTTGTATTATTGCAAATTATTTTACATTCTGAAGTTTAAAAGGCGACAGTTACAGTACTTCATTCGGAGATGTTGGGTATATTTGATGGTTGTTGTAACTATTTGCCTGTCGGTTGATTTAAATGGAGACGTCTCCAAGTTTGTTCCCTAAAAAATGCTGCTACAGAAGATAAATAGCGGTTGATTTTATCTTCGATTTTACCAACATCAATTACGGAGGCAAGAATAAAAGGAGGGGACAGAAAATTTTGAAATGTAAAAGATAAGGTTGCTGCTCATCTCGTCCTCTTCATATTTGGAAATACATCTATGCTGAAAATTATCAATATAAAGGTCCCCAATCCTTTTTCGGCATTTTAAAGTTTTAGTCGATTTTTTTAAGCAAAAGGCACGATTTCCTGAAGATGTTGATCACATCTTTGCAGGAAATTGTCTATATAGGTCCCTATTTTGTCATGGCTCCGGAATTTTGTAGGCGATACCTGCAGCCTCAAACAGAAGGGACTGTAATTTGCCATTTCGAGATTTTGCAGAAAATGTTCGATATAGGTTCTTTTTTTGAAGTAGCCCTTCTATAAAGGTTCCAAAAGGGCGGTAATTTTGCACGCCGGGTTCATGAAGTGTGACTAACAACTTTGCAGAAAAAGGTCAATACAGGTCCATGTTTTGACGTAGTTCTCCTCCTATAAAGATGACCGTATTTTCAAAGTTTTCAAGACGAATAGAAAAAAAATTTCTGGAAAAAAATTCGATATGGGAACTCGTTTTTTACAGCATCTACATAAAGTTCCGACATCATTTTTGGTATTTAGAAGATCTTCGCCAAAATTTTCCATCGAAATGGAAACAATTGGGCATTCGAAGTGGCTGTAATTTATCAGATCGAATTCTTGGGTGGTTAAAAAATCTCAGGAAAAAAATTCGTTATGGAAATGCGGTTTTTGTATAGCACCAACATAAAGTTCCGATCTCATTTTTGGCATTTCGAAGTTCTTGGCCACATTTGTTTCAAGTGGCTGGGCATTCGAAGCGGCTGTAATATAACATATCGGATTCTTGGGTGGTAAAAAATCTCTGGAAAAAAATCGTTTTGGGAATACGTTTTTGTACATAAAGTTCCGACCTCAATTTTGTTATATAAAAGGACTAGGCCGCAATTTTCGCTGAAGGATTGGCTGTAATTTGTCCGATCGGATACTTGGGTGGTAAAAAAAAATCTCAGGAAAAAATTTCGTTATGGGATCACGTTTTTGTATATCATCTACATAAGTTTCCGACCTCAATTTTGGTATTTAAAACGACTGGGTCGCAATTTTCCTCGAAGTCGCTCTAATTGAGCATTCGAAGTGGCTGTAATTTAACATATCGGATTCTTGGTTGGTAAAAAAAATCTCTGGAAAAAGAGTCCTATATGGAAAGACGTTTTTTAATAGCACCTACATAAACTTCCGACCTCATTTTTGGCATTTCGAAGGTTTTGGCAGCAATTTTCCATCGAAGTGACTCTGATTGGGCATTCCGGATTTTTGAAGGATGAAAAACATCTTTGTCTATATAAAGGTCACGCGCCCTTTTGTCTGTTTTTTTAAGGGTTCAGATGTATACTATCACAGAAGTGGTTGTAAATTGGCATTCCCCTATCAATCTGGGGAATAATATTCATTTTGAAAGTTGTCAGTAAATAATTTTGTGTACAAAAATAATAAAATTGTGACGGAATAAAAAAACCGAATTTACGACTCAAAATTCTATTTTTGGGACAAAAATCGATTTTTTGGAATAGTGATTGAAGAGTTTGCCATACACTAGTCTGTCTCACATATACAAAAAGGGGTTCATCGGCATGATTTATAGTGTATTGGGCCCTTAAATCATGCCGATGAACCCCTTTTTGTATATGTGGGATTGACTAGTGTATGGCAAACTCTTCAATCACTATTCCAAAAAATCGATTTTTGTCCCAAAAATTGTATTTTGAGTCGTAAATTCATTTGTTTTTTTGTTCCAGCACAATTTTATTATTTTTGTACACAAAATTATTTACTGACAGCTTTCAAAATGAACATTATTCACCAGATTGATAGGGGTTCATTTTCAAAATCAAAACTATTTTGATTTTGTTCATGCATTGGGTGTGTCACACATACATAAATAAACTTTCAAAAAATAATAAATACTATGATTAATGATGTACGGCATGATGTATAGTGTATGGGTCCCTTTATAGTCACTCAACATTTTTTTGTTTGAAAATTCACGTATAGAGATGGTCACTTTAAAAATATTTTTTAAAAATCCAATATTTTCGTTGGTTAAAAAAAGTAAAACCCGTTTTTTTTCATCCACTCCCTGATACAGAGATTTTTCAATTTCAATATTGGAAAATAAAATTTTTTTTTGTGTACATTCACGTTCACATATATATTGACAAATATTTTTGGAATTTTTATTATTTTTTTCTGTTGTTTGTTTTCATTTTTTAATTGCATACATAATTTTTATGTATTGTTTATTTATTATATATATAAAAAATCGCATTGCATCTTAAATACGTATGTTTTGTTGTTGTTGTATATCATGTATAAGTAGGTATTAGATCCTTAGAAAAATTCTTAATAAACACGACACAAAAATAAATCAGGAAAAATATATATGTATGTATGTCTGTGTATGTAAGTATGTAGTTGATTGGTTGGTAGATTTGGTTATGGTTGTCGAAATCATTCATTCAACATTTGATGCCCATCATTCATATAACACATTTTATCCTTTTATGTAAAACCTATCATGCCGCCCACCCCTCCCTCCCCTTTTTGTGTGTTATACTATATGGACATTTTTCGGCAAAATCCAGCACAAAACCAAGGAGTTGAAGTTGTTTTTATTGTTGTTGTTTTAATACAATTCTCACCGGCAGAGGATGCTAACTTCTTCCGCGTTAATGCTTGATGTTATTCGGATACAATTTCATCTTTGAACGAGAGTGCTGTTATGGCTTTGGTATGACCGGTATATTTACGTTCCGGATTTTTCGTTTCCAATTTCCATAGACGGGCAATGGCATCACTGGAGGCGGTGAATAGATATTTTGAATCGGCACTAAATGCCGCATCCCATACCCATGCATTTTCAATGGACAGCTCACGCCACATGGTGAAGTCATCGGTTTTCCAAACGCGGGCCGTGCCATCGCCTGAGGTAGTTACAAGCAAACGGGAATCGGGAGAAAATTTACACCGCAACACATATCGCTTGTGAGCGGCAATTTTCAGCTTGGGATGTAGTGTACTGAGTTTTTGATTTGGCGAGGAACTTAAGACCCAAATATAACAATTGCCTTTGTTGTTGACCGCAGCCATGTACTGGCCATCGGGTGATATGGCAACATCCTGTATGGAGGCATCAACTTCGGGTATTAGCTGTTCGTGCACCTCGGACTTGACATCCCACAAATAGACACCGCCATTTTGGGCTCCCATGGCAATTTCCACCTGGTTGGGATGCAGACAGGCTGCATTAACGGGTGCTTGGCAGTCAAAGACACGCGAACAGTGTGGTGAATCGGATAACATATCCCAAATGCGTACCCGATGATCTTCACCGGCGGTGAACATCCATTTGCCATCCTCTTGAAACCCCAGACGGGTGACATTTTTCTGTACACTTTCGAAATTGATGACGGTCATGTTTGTTTTTAAATCGTACAGCCGAATGCATTGATAGCCACAGGCTGCCAGGCGATTTTTATCCGGTGTACGATCTAGGGCATTTACTTGCTACAATGAAAAGGATATAGTAAAATTGTATGAATGAAAGGTGTATGTTCAGACGTGTGTGTGTGTTGTCCAGACTTACCGATGTTTCTACAAACTTAAGCGATTGTATGCAATTGCCGGTATGGGCCTGCCACAGTTTTATTGTGTGATCATATCCACCGGTGGCCAATATCAATTGGTCACCTGTTGTCTCCATAGTTTGTGGTGAAATATTTGCCTATTTTCCAGTTCGGTTTTAATTGTTTTTTACATTAATTTCCAATTTTTTGTTCGCTTAGGGGGCAACACACCGAATAAAATTGTATTAAGCGAATGAAATACGCCAACAGAATTTAAAAACAGCTGTTCGATTTTGAGAAGGGAACAGTGAAACTAGTTCCACCTGTTTGTTTCATTCAACTCGTTCCACTGTCCTGTCTCGTTTTCGCATGTGGTGTACACACTATCAGTTTTGATTTACAGTATGGCTTAAATATAGCTTGTTTAATCTTGTCACCGTTCATGCAAGTTATCCATGAAATGATCATGGTTTTTCGAAAATCAGAAATTGATAAAATAAATTCTAAGCGGGTATTTCTCATTGCGGTCCTCGGACTTTGAAATTATTGTGAATAAATAAAATTGGTCGCTATAAGCGATATATCATTACATCCAATACAATCGATGTAAACGCTCGCGTTGTAAATGATTCCGAATTTTTCAGAATCTGCAAGATTATTATATTTATCGACATTTTTGTTTCAAATCTCTCCTCCTTCTTTATCTAGAAGCTTTTGTAACGTAAGGCCGCTCTCTCGTTCTCTAGATCATACAGATCTTTCCACGCACGTCTTTTTGGAGGAATTCTAGTCACCATCACATAATGGTTAGGGTGATTATCTCTGAAACACCTAAGGGAGAAACACACACATAAGAGGACTTCAGGCTTGGCATGTTAAGTTAGCCTTTTTATTGTAAAAGTGTAAAGTAGAACGGCGCCCAATATCATGGACGTCGTTGACAGGCCAGGCCTGAATCCTCGTATGTGTTTCCCCTTCAAACAGGTACTGATACGAAAGCGTAATGCTATGCTGACCTGAGGGGAGGATCTTTGTCTCCTTGTGTAGATGGATCAAAGGTGTCATGAGGAGGCAACCTGATGCGGTTTTCAGGGCAGCGTTACGACAGGTCTAAATACTACTCCACCAGTATTCCACACTAGCATCGTATAGCTGGTCACAGACCCGCCTATCACTTTATACGAGATCAACAAGTTCCTTATCTGCGTGACCTGGCATGTTAAGTTGGCTTTGTATGAAATGTCAATTTATAAAGGAATATCAGAGTCAAACTTGAATTTGGACGCCGTTCTCCTTTATTATTTTACAATAAAAGTAGCCAACTTAACATGCCAATCCTGAAGTCCTCTTATGTGTTTCTCTCTTTATTCTACAAGCGATTTGAGGACCTTGTTTCTATTTTTCAAGTTATGGATTGCCTGGTTTTGGTTTCTCTATCATCAAATACGAAAATGTTGTAACTTGAATGGGTTTTGTTGATAGGGAATTTGGCGATAGGTGAGTCGGCTTTGCTGGGCCATTTAAGAGGTGCAACGTGTCATGTGGTACTAGTGCACATGCAGGACAAGTGTAATGGGAGGAACACATACGAGGATTCTGGTCTGATCTGTTAAGTTGGCTTTGTGTGAAATGCCAATTTATAAAGGAATATCAGAGTCAAACTGGATTTTGGACGCCGTTCTCTTTTATTCTTTTACATATGTGTTTCCCCCTTTACGTACCGAGCCAATTCAATTCTTGCCCAATCGGAAGTGAGGCGTTTGCACCATCCTGACATGAGTTGAGCTAAGACTACTCGTGTTTGTCGGGGCAACTGCTTCTCCTCTGTAGCCAATCATGGGATTATGGTATTCACACCATATTTTTCTACTTCCTGAGCGACTGCGTCAGTGTGAATGCCATTCAGACCTGCTTGATAGGCTTGTTGATCTTAAGGTTCACGCTTATATCTTTGGACACCTCTCACATAAAGATCTCTCCTGACGTGTCTGGACGGGGGAGTTCTGTCAATAAGGATATGACAGGAGTGTCCCACCAAGCCAGCACTGCATTGACAAAATATAGTTGTGTTGATGGAGTAAGATCTTTGTCTCCTCATGAAGATGGTCCATTGGAGTCACTGGCAGATCTGGATATTCTTCCACTGTGTATCACTTACATTCGTAAACCACACTGGCGCCGCATAGCTTACGACAAAGTTTTGAAGTTGTCTGGCAGTAAATGGCGAGTAGACCAAGCTGAAGGCATTAACGCGCGAGACGTCCAGTAGACTCGGACCAACTGTCTAACTTGAAAACTACATATTCGAGGGAGTGATTGATTTTATATACCTCCGTTCCCCCATCAGCAATACTAGTAGCATTAGCTTTGAAATCCGGATAATGTTGGCCAACAGATGCGGCTATGGTCTAACTAAGCAGTTTAGAAACAAGGCCACCTCCCGTCAGACCAAACTAACACTCTAGAAGTCACTGATACTACTCGTATTTTTGTATGGATCTGAAGCACGGGTACTTACGCAAGCAGATGAGGTAGCTCTTGTAGTGTTTGAGAGAAAAAAATCTCCGAAAGATCTATGTGCAGATCTGCGTTGCCGTCGAATGAGCTATGAGTTGTACCATCTATTCTTGGACATCGGCATTGTCAGACACATCGAGATGCAGTGAATTTGTTAGTTAGGTCATGATGTGAGAATGGATGAGGATGTCCCAGCACGTAAACGGCATATTAAAAAATGAGCTAACTGATGGGTCACACAGAAGGGGAAGGTCACGAATTAGATGGAAAGCTCAAGCTTTCGGAATATAGTCTATCAAATTGGAAGAACTGTGCGCAAGACCGACGTGCCTGGAAATCTTTTTAAGCTCATCTAATGGAACAAATCCTCTATCATAAGCCAGCTATGTAAGTAGTTGTGTCGATGGATGGGTAAGATCTTCGTTTCCTCATGAAGATGGTCCATTGGAGTGATGAGAAAACACCATTTTGCAGTTCTCGGGACAGCATTCTGGCAGGTCTATATATTCTTCCACTGTGTATCATTTTATATTCGCAAACCACACTGATGCCGCATAGCTTACCACTGACCGGCAGATTCCTTTATGCCAGAGGTCAACAAGGTTTCTTTGTCAGCACCTCAAGTGCTGCCGGTTAGTGACTTGAGGACCTTGTCCCTACATCTCAGCTTATCGCATAAATCAGTGGCTTGCGCAGACAACTTGAAAAGGATATCGAACGTTACTCCCAATATCTTGGGGTAGTTTGTGGTCAGAATCAGCTCCCCATTGACCATTATGTTCAGAGTGAGCTTTAGTTTCAGCCGTCCATGTGGTGAACAGTGTGGCTGTTGATTTTGTGGCGGATATTTTCGTATTCAGCTATGTAGAATTTGAACCTCTAACAATTGTCATTAATATTGGGAATCAAGGTCATAATCGTACAATCATCCGCATATATTACGATCTCTATGCCGTCCGGTGATTGTGGAATATCAGAAATGTAGAGATTAAACAATTCCGGAGATATGACTAGAGTTGGGTAGTTCCGGAACGAACGAGTTCATTGGAACTATTCCGAGAAAGGAACTATCGGAACTAGTTCCAGCTCTTTAATTAATATAGTTCCTTTTTCTGATCTCGTTCTTTTTTCTTTTCCCTTTTTCTCGTTCTTTTTTCTGATCTCGTTCCATTCGTTCGTATTTCGAATTCTATTTTGTGCAGTTGAATTCTGTAGCTTCATTTCAAAACAGAAGAACGATAAAACAAAAAGAACGATGAAAGAGAGAGATGCAAAGGAACTATGTAGGAGTCGGAACTTTATGGTGCAAAGGAACTGTATGGAGTAAAGGAACTGTATGGAGCAAAGGAACTATATGAAGCAAAGGTACTATATGTATCAAAGGTTCTACATGGATCGAAGGAACTATATGGAGCAAAGGAATTATATGGAAATAAAAACGTAAAAAAAAAACAAAAAGAACGATGAAAGAGAGAGATTCAAAGGAACTATGTAGGAGTCGGAACTATATGGAGCAAGGGAACTATAAAGAGCAAAGGAACTGTATGAAGTGAAGGAACTATATGGAGCAAAGGTACTATATGGAGCAAAGGTACTATATGGAGCAAAGGAACTATAATGAGCAAAGGAACTGTACGGAGTAAAGGAACTATATGGAGCAAAGGAACTACATTAAGGAACTAGTTCCTTTTATAAAAAGGAACAAGAAAGATCGATCCGCTAAGTGAACTAGATTGCCCAACTCTAGATATGACCCTCCCTTCTTGCTTGACTCTACGGAGTTTGGACTTCCTGTTTCTGAATTTCACATACGACTGGTGTCCATACATATAGTTGATTTTCGAACATGGTCGAAAATTTGTCTTCTCCACGTCCTCTATAATTCAAAATTGTCTTCTCTATATCCTCTATAATTTCGATTTCAAAAGAACATTTCGAGTTCTAGTTCCGGTTATATATATAATAATAACTGCGACATTAACACTACTCACTAGACTGCGCTATTTTCAGGGTTGTGAGGTGTGGTTGCCAGGCCCTTTTTTTAATTCCAATAGCTTCTAAGAATTTCGAATACGTAATTTGAACACGGGGTCCATTTAGAATTTAAACATCCACACGTTTGCGAATGCACGTAGCATCCATCCATACGTCCAGTTTCAACTGGATGATTGGATTTTTTTCACTCTCCATATGACAATGTTTAGATGGGCACATGATCGGAATGATTAATCGTTACGAAGATCCTACATCAACATTACAAAGTAGGATAGAAAAAAATCAAGCAAACATTTAATAATTGTCAATGAAAATTGAAAAAAAAGAGGCGGACAATGATGACCGAAGCAATTAAAAATAAAAATACCCTGTCATCACCTATAGAATTTCCCCAAGTGAATTAGTGAGTGCATCATCATCATCTAAACTACTTATTTCGAAATACTAGATAAATAGATATGGCATGTTATCCTACCCCACTCCATCTCCCCTCATAGGCAATCATCAGTTCCAATGTTGATTGGTGGCGACAAAAAGTCTCTCTCGAAAATATTCCATTTGTCCATTCATGTGACCAGCGAACAATGAACAACTATGACTAGGCGACGTGCTTTGAAACATGCATAAGCCACTG